TCCTCTTCTTCTTGGTGTTATTATTAGTGTTAATAATATTAGTGTTGTTATTATTAGTATGAGTATTATTATTAGTATTTTCATTATTATTATTATTATTATCATTATTATTCTTATTATTACTATTACTATTATTAGTATTATTATTAGTATTAGTATTAGTATTATCATCATTATTAGTATGATTATCATTACTATTCTTATTATTATTAGTATTATTATTATCATTATTACTATTAGTAGTATTATCATTAGAAGTAGTAGTAGCAGTAGTAGTAGTAGTATTACTATTATTATTACTATTAATATTAGCAGTATTATTCGTAGTACTATTAATCGTATTAGGAATATGAGTAGTATTATTAGTATTATTATCAGTATTATTATTAGGATTATTATGAGTAGTCGTATTAGTATCAGTAATAGTACTATTAGTATTAATAGTATGATTATTATTCGTATTATTGTTAGTAATATTATTAGTCTCATTCGTATTCGTAATAGTACTCATGTTATTATCATTATCGTCATCATTTGCAGTATTAATATGTACTACTACTACTAGTATTATAAGTATTATTATTAATGCTACTATTGCTATTAGTGTTTAGTATTACTATTATGATTATTAGTATACGTATTATTAATATTGGTATTCCTCGTATTACTATTATCATTATCCTCATCATTAGCATTATTATTAGTAGTAGTAGTAGTAGTATTAGTATTATTGTTATTATTGTTAGTACTACTATCATGAACATTAGTATTAGTATCATTAGTATTGTTATTAGTAGTATTATCATTATTATTATTATGTGTAGTGTTCCTCTTCTTAGTAGCTTTACTATTAATCGTGTTCGTCTTATGATTATCCATTTTGATACTATTAATAGTATTAATATGAGTACTATTGCTAATCTCCTTCTTAATATTCTTCTTTTTCGTATTGTTATTCGTCTTCGTCTTATTCTTATTCCTCCTCCTCCTCCTCCTCCTCCTCCTCCTCCTCACCCCCTCCTCCTCACCCACCTCACCGATCGAACCCCCCCTCCTAATCCACTTTCTCCCCCTCGTCCTCCACCACATCGTCCTCCTCCTCCTCATCCTCCTCCTCCTCCTCGTCCTCCTCCTTCTCCTCCTCCCCCTCCTCCTCCTCCCTCCTCCTCCTCCTCCTCCTCCTCCTCCTCCTCCTCCTCCTCTTCCTCCTCCTCTCCTCCTCCTCTTCCTCATCCTCCCCCATCATGATACTCATCATCATCATCATCATCATCATCATCATCATCATCATCATCATCATCATCATCATCATCATCATAATCATCATCATCATCACCACCATCATCAGCAGCATCATCATCATCATCAGCATCATCATCATCGTCATCATCATCGTCGTCGTCATCATCAGCATCATCATCAGCATCATCATCATCATCATCATCAGCATCGTCATCATCATCATCATCATCATCATCATCACCATCATCATCAACAACATCAACACCATCATCAGCAGCATCAGCATCATCAGTATCTTCACCATCATCATAAGAATCATCATCAGCACAGCCATCATCATCATCAGCAGCATAAGGATCAGCAGCATCATCATCATCAGCGGCATCGTCATGATCATCACCACCACCATCATCATCAGCAGCATCAGCATCATCATCAGCAGCATAGCATCATCAACATCACAATCATCATCTGCATCATCGTAATCAGCATTATCATCAGCAGCAGCATCATCATTATCGTCAGCAGCAGCATGAGCATCGTTATCAGCAGCCTCATCATCATCTTCATAATCATCATCATCATCAGCCGCAGTAGCATCATCCTCATCAACACCATCATCACCGCCACCTCCACCATCATCATCAACATCGACATCACCATCATCATTATCATCATCATAATCATCACCATATCATCATCATCAGCATCATCATCATCATTCAACTCACCATCATCATCGTGATCCGCATCATAACCATCAGCAGCAGCAGCATCATCATTATCACCATCATCATCGTCGTCGTGATCATCACCCGCATCAGCAGCCTCATCATCATCGTCACCATTATCATTGTCAACATGACCATTATCACCGTCACCATCATCATCATCACCATTATCATCCGCATCATAATTGTCGCCGTCATTAACATCCGCATCATCACAAGTATCATCCTCATCATCGTCATCATCATCACCATCACCATCACCACCATCATCATCACCATCGGCATCATCATCAGAAGCATCAGCAAGACCATCACCATCATCATCATCACCATCAGCATCATCATCATCGGCATCATCCTCATCATCACCCTCATCATCAGCATCATCAGTATCAGCATCCTCATCAGCATCATCATCGTCACCATGATCACCATCACTAGCATGATCATCATCATCATCATCATCATCATCATCATCATCATCGTCATCATCATCATCATCATCATCATCGCCATCCACATTATCACCATCATCATCATCATCATCATCATCATCATCATCGTCATCACCATCGCCACCATCATCATCAGCATCATCAGCATCATCATCGCCATCACCATCATCAAAATCGTCATCACCACCATCACCATCATCATCGTCGTCATCATCAGCAGCATCATCAGCAGCACAATCATCATCATAGTCATCATCATCATTACATCAACCATCACCATCACCTTCCTCCTCATCATCACTACCACCATCATAGTCGTGATCACCACCATCATCACGACATCACCATCACCATCACTATCACCAACACCATCGCCATGACCATCGTCATCATCATCGTCGTCAGTCTCACCATCATAAGCATCATCATCAGCAGCATCGTCAGCATTATTATCATCATTATCACCATCATTATAACCACGACCATCATCATCATCATCATTATCATCATCGTCGTGATCATCATTATCATCGTCATCATCAGCATCATCAACATCATCAGCATAATCAGCATCGTCAACATCATCACCATCACCATCATCATCAGCATCATCATCAGCATCATCATTATCACCATGACCATCGTCATCATCGTCGTCAGCCTTACCATCTTAAGCATCATCATGAACAGCATCAGTAGAACTCCTAATATCATCATCAGCATTAACATCACCATCATCGTCATATCCATAATCAGCATAATCATCATCGTGATCAGCATCATCATCGTCGTGATCAGCATTATCACATCATCATTGCCATAACCATCATCATCACCATCATCATCGTCGACCTCATCGCCATCAACATCATCATCAGCATCATTACCATCATTAGCATCATCACCATCATCGGCATCATCGTCATCATCATCGTCTTTATCACCATCAGCATCACCATCATCATCGTCCTCCTCCGTCCCTTCCTTCTCCTAAGAAACCAGATAACACCAAAGCCTCTTCAAATCAAATGTGGGTCAGATCCTGGTATACATGACCTCGTGGCCTGGCCAAAAATTTGGTGCACAGCGAAATCTAGCCGGGGATGGGCACGCAGAAACTTGGTGGTGTAGAATTTTCCGCTCCTCCCACGCACAGGACTGGCCAGGAACGACAGGAAACTCGAGCGCCCCGAGATCATATCAGCACCCAGAGATCCGACGCTCCGAAAAAAATACACCGTTTTCGGCCTCCGGGGGTCCTCGTCGGGCCCCGGGGAAATTAAAAAGCGACTCAGGACGAAAAACTGGACCCAGGAAATTAGTCAAGACCTCCAGGGCCCACGCATCCAAAAGATTGGAACACCGGATGTCGGGGTACTAGCTAGTGGGTTGGGTCGGTCAATTTGTGGTTTGATTCCATTGCTGGACAGCTTTGTAGCCCGCCTGGACCACGAAAACACACAAGCAAACAGCTTGCGATATCCAGTTCGCAATTCGGCCCAAGCGCTTCGCATCCCACCGAAAATGGCGCCGTGGTGGATGTAGACAGATGCCCGTTGATATTGCGAGCCGATCTCACTGCTGGATAGCTTTGCGGCTTGCTCGAATCTCGAGGTTGCCATAAACAAGCGACGTGCAGCCCAACAGGCCGCAGCATCGAGTCTGTCGATGCAGCAGGATGTTCACTCTGACGATACCGGCGCGCTCGTGGCTGCAGCGCATTCCTTTATAGCTCGTTTGTACTTCGCGCTTACTCTCATCACTTAATACTGTTTGACACGGTCCCTTCCCTACATGCCCCTGGCATTTGGTCCCTGCCCTGGCTCTACGGTGATTTCAGGCCTGCGTCGAGATCCGATGATGGGGCCCTGAAACAGGAGCACAGGTCGCCGTCGTGCCACCCCTGTTCCACTGCAGATCCGCCGGAACTGTACTATGGCAGTTTATTTCACCATCTTACCAGTGCGCCTCTAACGTGCACGGCCTGGTCAAAAACAATCGCTGCGGGGCGCCGAACCCGCGCGGGCAGCCACTGCGCCGGCGCATCCCCTCTTCGCGCCGCCCTGCTGTGCTGCGAGTGCGCGCGCGGTCCTTTCCTCCCCCGCCCCATCAGCCCAGCATGCCCAGCCGCACCCTGCCAAAGGCCGTGGCAGGCTAGTCTCTCTCTCTCTCTCTCGTGACTGCAGACAGAGGCGTCTGAAGATGACGGGGGTGCGGAGTCCGCTCTCCGAGGTGCGCGAGAGCACCGCGACCGAGCCCACCCTCGACAGAGCGGGCACCCAGAGCAGTCGCCGGGAGGCCTCCTCGAAGGCCCCAGGACGCCTCGGGGCAGCCCAAAGCCGCCCCCTCTTGAGGCCCCCAGGGGCCCCAAGACGCTCCAAGGGGGCACAAGAGGGCTCCAAGACGGGCAACACGGACCAGAGTGCAGCACGAAAGCCCCATGAGTGGACATGGAGGAAGCCCTTGGGCCACCACGAGCAAGCTCACTTCGGGTAAGTGGGGACGCGTCTGTTCTCGAAATCTGGGCTTCCACGACCCCATCGTGCTCCTCCTCGTTTCCCAAAACCCGTTCCTTGGCCATCTTCTGCGAGGCCTGGTAGTGCTGATCGTGGGAGTCGACGAGGGTCTGCAGCGGCACACCCATGTCCTTGGCTGGTTCCTCCTCTAACCTCGACCTCCCACTCCCCGTCCCTCCCGTCCAACTCCTCCTCAACCTACACCCCCATCCCCGGCCTCCCCTCCTATTCCTCCTCCTCCTCCTCATCCTCATCCTCCTCCTCCTCCTCCGTCTTATCCTCCAACTGTTCCTCGTCCTACTCCTGCTCCTACTCCTCCTGCACCCACTCCTCATCTTATTCCATGTGCTCCTCCTCTTCCTCCTCCTGCTGACCACCACCACCACCACCACCATCGTCCATCGTCGTCGCTCATCATCATCATCATCATCATCATCATCATCATCATCATCATCATCATCATCATCATCATCATCATCATCATCATCATCATCATCATCAGCAGCAGCAGCAGCAGGAGCATCATCATCATCATCATCATCATCATCATCATCGTCATCATCATCATCATCATGATCATCATCATCATCATCATCATCATCACCAACATCATCATCATCATCAGCATCATCATCATCATCATCATCAGCATCATCATCATCATCATCATCATCATCATCAGCATCATCATCATCATCATCATCATCATCATCATCATCATCATCATCATCATCATCATCATCAGCACCATCATCAGCATCATCATCATCATCAGCATCATCATCACCACCATCATCAGCATCATCACCATCACCATCATCATCATCAGCAGTACCATCATCAGCATCATCATCAGCATCATCATCAGCAGCATCAGCATCATCATCATCATCTCATTACCATCATCATCAGCATCAGCATCATTATTCCATCATCAGCATCATCATCACCACCACCAGCATTATCATCATCAGCAGCAGCATCAGCATCAGCATCAGCATCAGCATCAGCATCAGCATCATTATCATCAGCATCATCATCGTCATCATCATCACCATCATCATCAGGATCATCATCATCAGCATCAGCATCATCATCAGCATCAGCATCATCATCATCAGTAGCATCATCATCAACTGCATCATTATCTGCATCATCATCAGCATCGTCATCATCAGCATCAGCATCATCATCATCATCATCATCATCATCATTATCATCATCAGCATCAGCATCGTCATCAACATCATCATCATTGTCGTCGTCATCATCATAATAAGCAGCATACTTGTCATCACCACCACCACCACCATCATCATTCCATCATCATCACCATCGTCATCGTAATCGTCATCAGCAGCATCGTTATCACTACCACCACCACCACCATCATCATGATCATGAGCATCATCAGCATCATCAGCATCGTCGTCATCATCATCAGCCGCAGCATCACACACACCATCATCATCAGCAGAATCATCATAGCTCCACGCTCCTCCCATCAGCATCAAAATCATCAACATCAGCAGCAGAATCATCAGCAGCAGCATCATCATCACCAAACAACAACAACAACAACAAGAACAATAACCGCAACAGCACCAACAACAACTAGAACAACAACAACAAAAGCAACAACTACAACAACAACAACAACAATTCGGGAGCGCGGCGCTTGAGTAAATTGCAGGACATTCCAACGCAAGGGTGCTATTCGTCAGTAAATTGTAAGCAAGTCTCCAGCGAGAGCGCGACTCCAGAGCGCCGGGAGAGCGATTCCTGAATAAATTGTACGGATGTCCCAAGCCAGAGCGCGATTCCTGAATAAGATGCGAGGAAGTCTCGGGCGGGAGCGGGGGTCCTGGTTAGATTGTGAGGACATCTCAAGCGGGAGCCGTTGTTGTTGTAACCCGGGGGCCAGGGGCGCAGTTTGAGCATCAAGACCTTGTCTATAAAAAAACAGGGTGCGAGCGTCGAAGGGTACACTTTGATTGAGAAAAAGCAGCATGCGCCTGTGAGGGGGGATCAACGATGATTATTCTTCAGAATTAAGAGTTCAACAACAACAACAACAACAACAACAACAATAATAAGTTTAAGACTGCTCGCCCTTATATGCTCGAGTGTCCAATAACGCGTATTTCCAAACCCTCGATACCCGCTCTTTTCGTCTTTGATCGAACCCCTTTTGAAAAGTATACCTTTCTTCCCTGCTGACCGGGCCCCGGCAAGCGGCGGGGCGGCCGCGGACCGTCGGCCTGGCCAGCGGCAGCGCTGATCGGCGGGGCGACCGCGGACCGTCGACCCGACCCCAAGAGGGACGGACAGGGGACCGACCACGACGACGACGACGACGACGACGACGTCGACAACGACGGCGACGACGACGACGACGGCGACGACGACGACGACGAGCGAAAGCGAGAGCGAGAGAGAACGACAGCAGGGCCACGAAGGAAACGAAGTAGGCCACGAAGGGCGACAGCGGGGACACGAATGGGGCCACGAAGAGCGCGAACGAGCAGGAGCCACGGAGGGCAGGTAATGCGGGGCCACAGAAGGCAACGATGGGGCCACTGAGGGTAGCAACTGGGCCACGTAGGACAGTGAAGGGGCCACAAACGGCGACAGCGTGGCAAGCAGGGCATGCACATGGGGCCACAACGGGCGCGAACGAGCGGGGGCCACGAAGGGCATACGTATGTTGGGCCGCGGAGGGCAAGGACGGGGCCAATGAGGGCAGCAACGGGGCCACGAAGGGCAGCGAGGGGGCCACGAAAGGCGACAGCGGGGCCACGAAAACATACATATGGGGCCACGACGGGCGCGAACGAGCGGGGGCCACGAAGGGCATACATATATGGGGCCACGAAGGGCAGCGAGGGGGCCACGAAGGGCTGCAACGGGGCCACGAAGGGGAGCGAGAGGGCCACGTAGGGCTGCAACGGGGCCACGAAGGGCTGCAACGAGGCCAAGAAGGGCAGCGAAGGGGCCACGAAGGGCTGCAACGGGGCCCCGAAACAAAGCGAGGGGGCCACAAAGGGCTGCAACGGGGCCACGAAGGGCAGCGAGAAGGCCACAAGGGGCTGCAACGGGGCCACGAAACAAAGCGAGGGGGCCACGAAGGGCTGCAACGAAGACACGAAACAAAGCGAGGGGGCCACGAAGGGCTGCAACGGGGCCACGAAGGGCAGCGAGATCCCGATACCTAGGTAATCTGTGAGGGATCCTAAGCGTGAGCGCGACTCCTGGGTGCCTGCATGTCGGGAGCGCGGCGCTTGAGTAAATTGCAAGAGATTCCAACGCAAGGGTGCTATTCGTCAGTAAATTGTAAGCAAGTCTCCAGCGAGAGCGCGACTCCAGAGCGCCGGGAGAGCGATTCCTGAATAAAGTGTACGGATGTCCCAAGCCAGAGCGCGATTCCTGAATACACTGCGAGGAAGTCTCGGGCGGGAGCGGGGGTCCTGGTTAAATTGTGAGGACATCTCAAGCGGGAGCCGTTGTTGTTGTAACCCGGGGGCCAGGGGCGCAGTTTGAGCATCAAGACTTTCCCTGTCAAAAAACAGGGTGCGAGCGTCGAGGGGCACACTTTGATTGAGAAAAAACAGCATGCACCTGTGAGGGGGGATCAACAATGATGATTCTACAGAAATAAGAATTCAACAACAACAACAACAACAACAACAACAACAACAACAACAACAACAACAACAACAACAACAACAACAACAACAACAACAATTTCTAGCACGTGGGGACACTCCGTTCTCACCAGTGCCAGGGTTTTCATAGGAGGCGGGCAATACCCCCACTTTGTGGGGGGGCCGGTTCAAGCTCTACCAAATTTCCAAACGACTCTTCGCCACCACCCACACCCAGCTTCCCGCCCTATGACGTTCGGACACTTCAATTCGTGGCCTGCGGACGACCGTGGCTACTACACTGGCGTGGAGTACACACCCACAGAAGTTGTTAAGCCTACGTTCGTACACCCACAGAAGTTGTTAAGCCTTGGCCCCTGGCAGGCGCGCGAACCCCGTTGCAAGAGCGTGCGAAAGTAGCTCGCGCGAGCTCATGTAACATAAATGTTGGGAAACCATTGTTTTTTTTTTTAGGATTCGGACAGCGCGCGCGGGTGGAAATTTTGAAAAGTCGTGCAGCTGTTTTTCGAGGACCTACGGTGCGATTCGTGTGATTTTATGATGCGCGGTGGTAAAATTCTTAAGAACCCAATGGTTTTTGGAGATTTCGGCGTGCGCGCGCGAAGAAAAAACGAATCTGTCCCGCATGGTATTATTTGACAGGGATGATGGCCTGGCAGGTGCGCACCGTAGTCGCAGAAGTTCGAAAAAGTTGCTCGCAAAAGCCCGTTTGATGAAATGGTTTAAAAGGGTTGGGTTTTACGATCCGCAAAGAGCGGCGGGATGAGATTTTGACCTTTTTTGTTGAAATTTTGAAAAAACCATTGGGTTTTTGATGTTTTATGTTAAAATCGCTACGAAACCTAAGGTTTTGGAAGGATTTCGTCTTGCGAGCGCGAATGTCCACTTTACCTTATTTTTTGCAAGGGATTCTTGAAATTTGATCAACTAAGAACAAGAATTTTCATTTTCTATTGTTTTTTGCAAGGGAAAACGAGCGTCAACAAAAAAACGGATCCGGGGGTAATCCACTTTTCTGAAGCTTTCGCAGAAAATTGATGAAAATGTAGCTGCGGCCTAGGTTTTGGGCGGGGGGCGTGCACCAGGGGGTCCAACAATAATAATTCTTTAGAAGTAATAGTGTTCAACAACAACACAATAAGTTTAAGACTGTTCACCTTATATGCTCGCGTTGTCCATAACGCGCATTTCCCAAAAAACCCTCAGATACCCGCCTCTGTCTTCGATCGAAACCCCTTTTGGGGGGTAATACCTTTCTTCTGCTGGACCGGGCCCCGGCAAGCGGCGGGGCGGCCGAGGAACGTCGGCCTGGCCAGCGGCAGCGCTGATGGGCGGGGCGGCCGCGGTCCGTCGACCCGACCCCAAGAGGGATGGACAGGGGACCGACCACGACGACGACGACGACGACGACGACGACGACGACGACGACGTCGAAGACGACGGCGACGACGACGACGACGACGACGACGACGGCGACGACGAGCGAAAGCGAGAGCGAGAGAGAACGACAGCAGGGCCACGAAGGGCACGAAGTAGGCCACGACGGGCGACAGCGGGGACACGAAGGGAATGCGTATGGGGCCACGAAGAGCGCGAACGAGCGGGGGCCACGAAGTGCAGATAATGCGGGGCCACAGAAGGCAACTATGGGGCCACTGAGGGTAGCAACGGGGCCACGTAGAACAGTGAGGGGGGCACAAATGGCGACAGCGGGGCCACGAAGGGCATGCACATGGGGCCACAACGGGCGCGACTCCTGGGTCCCTGGGTGTCGGGAGCGCGGCGCTTGGGCAAATTGCAGGAAATTCCAACGCAAGGCCATTCTTCAGTAAGTTGCAAGCAAATCTCCAGCGAGAGCGCGACTCCAGAGCGCCGGGAGAGCGATTCCTGAATAAATTGTAAGGAAGTCCCAAGCGAGAGCGCGATTCCTGAATACACTGCGAGGAAGTCTCGGGCGGGAGCGGGGGTCCTTGCTACATTGTAAGGAAGTCTTAGGCGGGAGCCGTTGTTGTTGTTGTAACTCGGGGGCCAGGGGCCCAGTTTGAGCAGGAAGACTTTCCCTGTCAAAAAACAGGGTGCGAGCGTCGAGGGGCACACTTTGATTGAGAAAAAACAGTATGCACCGGTGGGGGGGGATCAACAATAATTATTCTTCAGAAATGAGAACTCAACAATAACAACCCAAGCGTGCCCGCAAAGCAGGCATGGTCATCAGCATCATCATCATTGTCGTCGTCATCATCATAACAAGCAGCATACTTGTCATCACCACCATCATCATTCCATCATCATCACCATCGTCATCGTCATCGTCATCCGCAGCATCGTTATCACTACCACCACCACCACCATCATCATGATCATGAGCATCATCAGCATCATCAGCATCGTCGTCATCATCATCAGCCGCAGCATCACACACACCATCATCATCAGCAGAACCATCATAGCTCCACGCTCCTCCCATCAGCATCAAAATCATCAACATCAGCAGCAGAATCATCAGCAGCAGCATCATCACCAAACAACAACAACAACAACAACAACAACAACAACAACAAGAACCGCAGCAGCACCAACAACAACTAGAACAACAACAACAAAAGCAACAACAACAACAACAACAACAACAACAACAACAACAACTACAACAACTATTCGGGAGCGCGGCGCTTGAGTAAATTGCAGGAAATTCCAACGCAAGGGTGCTATTCGTCAGTAAATTGCAAGCAAGTCTCCAGCGAGAGCGCGACTCCAGAGCGCCGGGAGAGCGATTCCTGAATAAAGTGTGAGGATGTCCCAAGCCAGAGCGCGATTCCTGAATAAGATGCGAGGAAGTCTCGGGCGGGAGCGGGGGTCCTGGTTAAATTGTGAGGAAATCTCAAGCGGGAGCCGTTGTTGTAACCCGCGGGCCAGGGGCGCAGTTTGAGCACCAAGATTTTCCCTGTCAAAAAACAGGGTACGAGCGTCGAGGGGCACACTTTGATTGAGAAAAAACAATATGCACTGGTGGGGGGGATCAACAATAATTATTCTTCAGAAATGAGAACTCAACCATATCAACCCAAGCGTGCCCGCAAAGCAGGCATCATCATCCTCCCCCTCCTCATCCTCCTCCTCCTACTCCTCCTCCCTCCTCCAACTCCAACTCCTCCCCTCTCCTTCTCCTCTCCCCCCTCCTCATCCTCTCCTCTTACTCTCTTCCTCCTCTCCAACTCAACTCTCTTCCCTCTCCTCTCCTCCTCCTTCCTCCTCCTCCCTCTCCTCCTTTCCTCTCCTCCTCCCTCCTCCTCCTCCTCCTCCCTCCTCCTCCCTCCTCCTCCTTCCGCCTCCTCCCTCCCTCCTCCATCCTCCCTCCTCCCTCCTCCCTCCATTCCGGAGCGCTGGTCCTTGGCCAGCGCCGCCCCGTTCTCGTAGAACTTCATCACGCCGCGGCCCGTGTAATGCTTGCAGTGCCAGGAGAGCCGCGGGCCCCCCCACACACAAGGGCTCGCGCGCCCAGGGCGGGGGCGAGGGGCGCGGGGGACGTCTGCCCGCCGGCCGATGATCAAAACGCCTCCCCTTCCCCGCTTCCCCTGGCGGAGGAGGAGGAGGAGGAGGAGGAGGAGGAGGAGGAGGAGGACGGTCCAAACGGCGGTGGATCGCGGCCCTCGGAGGCCGGTTTCGGGCCCCGGGGGCCGTCAGAGACGGACCTGGGGCGACAAGCTGCCCCGCGGGAAGCTGCCGGGATCTCTCTGCGGCCGAGGATGGAAGAAAAAGTCGCGTCGGCGGATGCCAGGGGCCTCTTTCTTCACCACCTCCCCCGCCTCCACGCCATCGTCCTCCTTCAAAATGGGGCCCTCGCCAAAACGGCAGACACATGTGGTGCTTGGGTTTCAGGGGGGGCACCTCTTGTGGGGAAAAGGGAGCTCGCAAGGACGCGTGAGGAGGGGACTTGGGAGCGGAGGGTGTATCGTAGCACCGCTGACGTATCTTGGGTTCACCTTGGTCCTTCTCCTCCTCCTCCTCCTCCTCCTCCTCCTCCTCCTCCTCCTCCTCCTCCTCGAGGGTTTCCCTGCGAACACCGCTCTGAAAACCCACTTGTGGCATTTAGGGCCACTCTGGACCTCGTGTTGCCCCTTCGCGCCCCCAACGCGATAGCTGACCTGGTCGGCCTGGTCGGGGCCGAGACCCGTGCCTGCGCGAAGAACCACATCCGCCGCATGAGACCTTAGTGGGTGAGCAGCCACTTCATAAGCACAAGGTCGCTCAAGCAGTTGGTATGAGAATGCGTCCTGCACCAAGCAAACGTTCACGTGGACGCCACAGCAAAAGCCACGTAACGCGTCCAAAGCTGGGGTCATGCAACCGCGAGCACACTGGAGCACTCAAGCTCAACAAATACCGCCCTGCCTTGGGGTCAGCGGAACAGCGTGCTATTAGCCTCCAAGATCTCATCGGAAGCATTCTTGTTCAACGCTAAGCGGAAGGGAGGCTTGTTCTTCCACATCTCGCCGGTGACGTAGTCGCGCCTGCAGCAGTAGTGACGGTGACAGCGGCGGCAGCAGTAAGAGCAGGCATGAAGCAAATAGTGGGATTCGGAGAAAAGGCCAAAAACTGCACATGAAGCAAATCCACCACACATGTACAGAACTAGGAATCCCGACAGAAGGAAGCAACTACACATCCCTTGAACGATAACTCAACGAAGAAACCCTTCGTCTACATCATCTTCATCAAAAATTCGTCAACAAATCCGTTTATGTATAACTATACATACCAAAACCACCGACGCATTCCGACCGGGTCACCTCACACGTTTGCGAATTGTGCGAGTCCCCTCACGGACTATTACCTAGTACTGCAAATCCTATACTCCTACTACTGCTGCTACCACCTATGACCTACTACTCCTACTATTCCTCCTACTCCTACTACTGCCACGACTACTAGTACTACTACTACTACTACTACGACTACTACTACTACTACTACTACTACTACTACTACTACTAAACTACTACTACTACTAATCTACTCCTACTACTCCTACGACTACTCTACTAATACTATATATTACTACTATACTACTTCTTAATCGTTCTACTGCTACACTCTACACTACTACGAGCACGAGTACTACTACTACGACCACTATACTACTACTACTGTAATACTATACTCTACTCTCTATACTTTCTACTACTTACTACTACTATACTACTACTACTACTTATACTACGACTATTACTACTTAATACTACTCCTTCTACTAATTTCTACTTATACTAATTACTATACTACGACTATACTACTAGACTACTACTAACTAATATACTACTACTACTTACTACTACATACTACTACTACTACTTCTACTACTACTACTACTACTACTACTACTACTACTACTACTACTACTACTACTACTACTCACTACTTACTACTTACTACTACTACTACTACTACTACTACTACTACTACTACTACTACTACTACTACTACTACTACTATACTACTATTACTATTACTACTACTACTACTACTACTACTACTACTACTACTACTACTACTACTACTACTACTACTACTACTACTACTACTACTACTACTACTACTACTACTACTACTACTACTACTACTACTACTACTACTACTACTTACTACTACTTACTACTACTTACTACTACTTACTACTACTTACTACTACTTACTACTACTACTACTACTACTACTACTACTACTACTACTACTACTACTACTACTACTACTACTACTACTACTACTACTGCTACCACTGCTACCACTGCTACTACAACTGGCGGTCTCGTGCACCACATCACCACGGCTCAACCACCTAGGGAAGAGCGTCCTTGTGGCTGCCTCATTGCCAGTATGTAGCGCGCACCTCTTCTGGGTGAAAGGGCGGGTCTGACATGCTTGCAACGTCAGGCGCTCGCACCGTGGGCAGTTGGGTCAACAGCCCAGAGTGAAGCGCCAGCAACGGCACAGCAACACAACACTACTACTACTACTACTACTACTACTACTACTACTACTACTACTACTACTACTACTACTACTACTACTACTACTACTACTACTACTACTACTACTACTAATACTACTACTACAACTACTACTACTACTACTACTACTACTACTACTACTACTACTACTACTACTACTACTACTACTACTACTACTACTACTACTACTACTACTACTACTACTGCTACTGCTAATGCTACTGCTACTGCTACTGCTACTGCTACTGCTTTACTGCTACTGCTATGTACTGCTTACTACTTATATTTTACTTACTATTCTACTTACTTACTACTGAACTCTACTTATATACTCTTGACTACTACTTCTCGACTACCTTACTACTACTACTACTGCTACTACTACTACTTACTTACTCTACTACTACGAAGATACTACTACTTCTTATTATACACTACTACTAACCATACTACTATACTATATTGATATTACTACTACTACTCTACTACTACTACTATACGATACTTTCTTACTTACTACTACTCTTCTACTACTATATAACCACCTAGTAATATTAGTACTACTACAATACTACTACTACTTATACTACTCTACTTACTATTCTACTACTTATACTCCACTACTACTACGACTATCTATATTATACTACATACCTATATTCATACTACTACTTCTCCACCACACCACTAGTAATATTAGTATATACTATACTATTCTACTACTACTACTACTACTACTACTACTACTACTACTACGACTACTACTACTACTACGATTACTACTACTACTACTAGTACTACTACTACTACTACTACTACTACTACTACTACTACTACTACTACTACTATACTATACTACTACTACTACTACTACTACTACTACTACTACTACTACTACTACTACTACTTCTATACTACTACTACTTACTACTATACTCTATACTACTACTACACACAATGATACTCCCCCCCCTTTGATTTGACCCCGACGTTCTCCCTCGCCGACGTCGCTGCGAGAGAGGGCGGCTCTCGCTTTCGCGAGGGAAATGCGAGGCGAGCATTTGCTGGAAACCGATGGTAAGGGAATCCAAATGAAAACCGATTGTATCGGAAGGAAGCCGATTGCGTGGGAATTCGATTGTAAACAACATTGAAAGGTGTTCCTGTCGGAAACCGATTGTCCGGGAATCCAATCGGAAACCGATTGCACAGGAGTCCGAGTGGAAACCGGGTGTGAAGGAATCGTGTTGAAACCGACTGCCAAATAATACTATTGGAAACCGATTGCAAAGGAATTCCTACTCGAAACCGATTCTGCAGGAATCCAATTGGCAAACCGATTGCCAAAAAAAACGATTGGAAAATGTATATGTCGGAATCCTATCGGAAACCGATAGCAAAATAATTATTTCACTTTCGCGGGCTCCTGGGAGGCCCAGCAGAAGTACGTCCCACGCGGGCCACCTCGGGACCTCGCGGTGCCCTGGGGGCTGCGATCTGCGCAACTGTCGCCATTTTCGTGGGCTCCTGGGAGGCCCAGCGGAGATACGTCCCACGCGGGCCACCTCGGGACCTCGCAGTGCCCTGGGGGCTGCGATCTGCGCAACTGTCGCCACTTTCGCGGGCTCCTGGGAGGCCCAGCGGAGGTGCGTCCCATGCGGACCACCTCGGGACCTCGCGGTGCCCTGGGGGCTGCGATCTGCGCAACTGTCGCCATTTTCGCAGGCTCCTGGGAGGCCCAGCGGACATACGTCCCATGCGGATCCCCTCGAGGCCTCGCGGTGCCCTGGGGGCTGCGATATGCGCAACTATCGTTTTTGTCGTGGGCTCCTGGGAGGCCCAGCGGAGGCACGTTCCACGCGGACCACCTCGGGATCTCGCGGTGCCCTGGGGGCTGCGATCTGCGCGACTGTCGCCACTTTCGTGGGCTTCTGGGAGGCCCAGCGGAGGCACGTCCCACGTGGGCCACCTTGGGACCTCGCGGCGCCCTGGGGGCTGCGACCTGCGCAACCGTCGCCACGTTCGTGGGTTCCTGGGAGGCCCCGCGGAGGTACGTCCCACGCGGTCCACCTCGGGACCTCGCGGCGCCCTGGGGGCTGCGATCTGCACAACTGTCACCACTTTCGTGACTCCTGGGAGGACCAGCAGAGGTACGTCCCACGCGGACCACCTCGGGACCTCGCGGTGCCCTGGGGGCTGCGATCTGCGCAACTGTCGCCACCTTCGCGGGCTCCTGGGAGGCCCAGCGGAGGGGTCGTCCCACGCGGACCACCTCGGGACCTCGCGGCGCCCTGGGGGCTGCGATCTGCGCAACCGTCGCCACCTTCGCGGGCTCCTGGGAGGCCCAGCGGAAGTACGTCCCACGCGGGCCACCTCGGGACCTCGCGGTGCCCTGCTGCGACCTGCGCAACTGTCGCCATTTTCGCGGGCTCATGGGAGGCCCAGCGGAAGTACGTCCCACGCGGGCCACCTCGGGACCTAGCTGCGCCCTGGGGGCTGCGATCTGCGCAACCGTCGCCACGTTCGCGGGCCCCTGGGAGGCCCCGCGGAGGTACGTCCCACGCGGACCATCTCGGGACCTCGCGGTGCCCTGGGGGCTGCGATCTGCGCAACAGTCGCCAGTTTCGCGGGCTCCTGGGAGGCCCAGCGGAGGTACGTCCCACGCGGGCCACCTCGGGACTTCGCGGTGCCTTGGGGGCTGCGACCTGCGCAACTGTCGCCACATTCGTGGGCTCCTGGGAGGCCCAGCGGAGGTGCGTCCCACGCGGACCACCTCGGGACCTCGCGGTTCCCTGGGGGCTGCGATCTGCGCAACTGTCGCCACTTTCGCGGGTTCCTGGGAAGACCAACGGAGGTGCGTCCCACGCGGGCCACCTCGGGACCTCGCGGTGCCCTGGGGGCTGCGATCTGCGCAACTGTCGCCATTTTCGCGGGCTCCTGGGAGGCCCCGCGGAGGGGCGTCCCACGCGGACCACCTCGGGACCTCGCGGCGCCCTGGGGGCTGCGATCTGCGCAACTGTCGCCACCTTCGTGGGCTCCTGGGAGGCCCAGCGGAAGTACGTCCCACGCGGGCCTCCTCGGGACCTCGCGGTGCCCTGGTGGCTGCGACCTGCGCAACTGTCGCCACTTTCGCGGGCTCCTGGGATGCCCGGCGGAGGTGCGTCCCACGCGGGCCACCTCGGGACCTCGCGGCGCCCAGGGGGCTGCGACCTGCGCAACTGTCGCCACATTCGTGGGCTCCTGGGAGGCCCAGCGGAGGTGCGCCCCACGCGGACCACCTCGGGACCTCGCGGTGCCCTGGGGGCTGCGATCTGCGCAACTGTCGCCACTTTCGCGGGCTCCTGGGAGGACCAGCGGAGGTGCGTCCCACGCGGGCCACCTCGGGACCTCGCGGCGCCCTGGGGGCTGCGATCTGCGCAACTGTCGCCACTTTCGCGGGCTCCTGGGAGGCCCAGCGGAGGCGCGCCCCACCCTGACCACCTCCTCCTTCGCCGACTTCGGCGGACCTCTTTCCAGCAGCCAGCGGGGGGGCGGCCGCGCCGGCAGCATGTCCTTCATCTGGGTAGCGAGGGAGCACATCGCATAAAGGTTCAGCCACCATGCGTCGTCGTCAGCGCCGCGTTGCCCCTGCGGCCCCCGGCGGGCGCAGTCGATGGCCACTGCGCCTCGCATCGTCTGCCCCTGCGACGCCGTCGTCGTCAAGTAGCGGGCGCGCGACAGCATGCGGTCGCGGCGCTTCACGACGCGCGCCGCGGACGACGCCACCCAGGCGAAGGCGGCCCCCATCAGAGGCGCGCAGAAGAGACCACGAGCCCATCTTCACTACAGCATCCTCATCTTCGTTGCCCACGCACCCCATGGACTCCGCCAGCGCGGGGGCCTGCTTGAAGCCGTCGACCTGCAGCCAAATGCCCGCTGGAGAAAGGGGCGGCCTGAAGATCTCGCCCGGGCGGCCCGAAGATTTCACGCGGTCGCACTCCCTCTGGTCCTCGGGGTGGAGCACGAAATCAACAATGGTGGCCCGCTGCCCCCGGGCGAGGCCGGAGGCGCCATTGAACTTACCAGCGAAGCGAACCCGCACTCCCGCGTGAGCAGGGAGCACGCCGTGAATCCTGCCTGCGCGGTAGATGTCGGCCACGTTCAGCACCCTGGAGCACGTCGCCGCGTCCCCGGAGGGGATGGTCTAACACTCGTCGGAGGCCTGCAGGAAGACCAGGGGCAACTCGAGCACGCGGGCGTCGCGCCGCGCTCTCTCGGCGACCCAGCGCGCCAGAGGTTCCCCGTGCACGGCCAGGCCGTAGCCCTCGAGGAATTTGTACTCCGCGCGCCGCTTGCCCAGCACAGAATCGGCGTCGGGGCGGCTGTCCTTGGCGAACCTTTCCTCGAGCGCCTTCCAGACAAGGTCGGGGATCGCCTTGCCCTGGCGCACGCAAGCCAGGAGATCGATGGCGGGATCGCCGGGCACGAAGCGCGGCCCCGAGGAGCTCGATGACGCCCCGGCGACCTAGATGGCGTCCTGAATTTCCAGGGCGGGCGGCCCCTTGAGAACGCGGTTGCCGTTGGCGCCCTTCTCGTTGGGCCCCGTCAAGAGGCCGAGCTGCGCGGTTGGTGTCAGCTGAAGGAAGTCGCCCAGATGGACGGCGATGGGGCGCCTGCCAAAGCTGCACCCCTTCTTCATGCAGGTGCCCTCCGCGACGGCGCGGGCCTTCGCGCGCGCGTTGTAGTTGGCGGCGGGCACCGCGCTCACCTCTTCGATGACACGAGGACCCTCGCGCCCCCCCACCGCTCCTCGAGAGCTTTCGCCTCGCGGCCTGGGCGCACCTTCGCGTTGACCATCTCCCAGGCGCGCATGCCTGCAGCGTTGTGCTGGGCCCTCGTGTTCCACTCGGCGGCAGAGATGTTCTTCGCCTGCGCGTTGGAAGAGGCCACCACCAACATGGGCGGGGACTCGGGCGTCTCGTTGGGCCAGATGAATTCCACGGCCTTGAACGCCAGCTTCTGCGCCACGCGCGACTTGCCCGCGCCCCCAGCGCCGAGCAGGAGCAGGCGCGCGGGCTCTCGCCGCTCGGGCGGCAGCGCCCCCCCCCCCCCCCCATGCCTTGTCGCAGGCCTCCGCGAACATCGCCATGAAGAGCGCCCGTCGCCGAGTCAGCTGCTGGCCTGGGGACAGCTGCGACATGAGATGATGGATGAAGGCGCTTGGTGCCTTGAAAACGCCATCTCTGGCCAATGGGGCCACTGGCGTCTGTTTGCCCCTGAGTCTGACCATCGTGTTTTGAGTTTCCTCCACGGGGTCTCCCCCCCCCCCCCCCATTTTCTCCACGCGCGCTTGGCCGCGCGGGCCGCCGTCGTGCGATCATGCGCAGCAGCGTTCTGTTTATCAATCACATTGTGTTCGGGGAGCCCCGCCCTCGCGCGCAACCTTGCGCCCGCGCCCCTGGCGCGCTGAGCCAGCCCACCGCTGCGCGCGCCCCATTATCCCCAGGGGGCCCAGAACTACGTCGTCGGCCTGCGGGCGAAGCTGGCGATACCAGGAGATTTCTTTTTTCGCCCCCCGCTCACCCCTCAAGGCGCCACCAGCGCGAACTGCGCTTCGCGGGAAAAGATGGAACCGAGACGGCACGCGATCGCGCCGAATCCCTTCTCCTCGTTCAACACCGCCACCACGCCCGGGAACCGGGTTGAGCCCGGGCCCTCCACCGCGTCGAGCTGTTCGCCCTGGCGCGAAAACACAAACCAGCCGGCGGCCCCCGTTGCGGCGCCCCTGGGCCCTCATCAAGCGTCTCGCTCACGACGGGGACGCCGCGCGCTCGGGCATCTGCCACTGTGACTTTGAAATTATTGTCATAGTCTCCGAACTTCACCATCACGAAGGATTTGTTGCATCCGCAGCAGAACCGACTGAACTTCGCTGGAACATACACCTCGTGCTTGCGTCAACGCACCTCGATGGCATCTCCGTAACCGAATGTTCCGCCAGCCCGAACGTCTGTGCCATGCGCCTCAGCCATGGCGTCCACGGCCATCTGTTCGGACAGGTGTCGAATGGCAATCAAAGGAGCGTCTGAGACGACCACCTCGTCCGCCAGCGCGAAAAGGTCCAGGGTCACCCCGCGGCACTCAATAATCTTCGCAAGGCACACGTCTCCGTCAAGGTCGACGCGCACCAGTCCTTCGACAGAAAACAATTTGTCCAGCTCGCGTTGCACCACAGATTCTGACCCAGACCAATCCGTCGGCGCAGCCACGCCGCCAGCATCGTTGACCGCGACCCCCCCCGAGCTAACGTGGAGGATTCCAGCGCGATCCACGAACGAGAAGTGCATCTCCAACTTCTTCTCCCTGAAGCCCAGGAAGCGCGCGGCAAACAAACCTAACGGCACGGAAATTGCGCGCGCGGAAAGCCACGCGCGCATTTGGGGCAAGACGAAACATAAATCGGACATGGTCAGCTGGTTCCCAGAGGTTCTAGTTCAAGTGCGCAGGTAAAGGTCAGCAACGCCGACCTAACCACGCAAACTTCAACCCTGAGCTCAGGCATGGAGCCCAAACAGCCACGACGCAACAGGGCACCCCAGCTGCGAGGAGAACAGACGGCTCGAATGCCTCTGTCTCTGTCTCTGTCTTTCTCTCTCTCTCTCTCTTTCTCTCTCTCTCTCTCTCTCTCTCTCTCTCTCTCTCAGCCATTATATACATATACACCTATATGTATACACATACTAGAGAGAGCGTGATCCACCGCCGCTCTACTCTGGAAAATTCCCCCCCCTTCCTCTGGAACCCGGGGGCATCCTCCCCCTCCGAAAATCCCCCTCCCTGCTGGACCCCCCCCCCCCCACCCCCCCCCCTTTCCCCGGCAAAACCCCCCCTCCCCTAAAACACCCCCCCCCTCCCCTCCAGAAAACCGCCGGGGGGGTCAGAACCGGTTCGAACCCCCCCCTCCAGGAAAACCACGGGGAGTCACTACCGGTTCGACCCCTCCCCCCCCTCCCCCCCAGAAAACCAGAGGAGATCACTACCGGTTCGAACCCCACCTCCAGAAAACCAGGGGGGTCACTACCGTTTCGAACCCCCCCCCTCGAAAACCAAGGGGGGGTCACTACCGGTTCGAACCCCCCCTTCCCCTTCGAAAACCGACGGGGGTCACTACCGGTTCGAACCCCCCCCTCTCCCCCTCGAAAACCGAGGGGGGTCACTACCGGTTCGAACCCCTCCCGGCCCCTACCACCGTCCGCACCACATCCCCCACTGCTGTTACCATCACCACTGTCCTCGCCACCGCTGTCCCCACTGGTTCCACCACCGTCCCTACTGTCCCCACCAGAGCCCCCACCACTTTCGCACTGTCCCCACTGTCCCCACCACTGTTCCCACCACGGTTTCACTCTCCCCACTTTCTCCACGGCCCCAACCAGTGCCCGACTGTCCCCACTGTCCCCACTGTCCAACTGTCTCCTCCGCTGTCCCACTGAGCTGTCCCACTGTTCCCACCACTGTCCCCACTGTCCCCACCACTGTCCCCACTGTGCCTCTGTCCCATTGTCCCACCGCCGTCCTCGCCACCGCCCTCACCACTGTCCCCACCACCACTGTACCCTCCACTGTCCCACTGTTTCCACCACATTCCCACTGTCCCCACACCACTGTCCCCACCACCACCGTCCCCACCACTGTCCCACTGTCCCCACTGTTCCCACCATTGTCCCCGCTGTCCCCACCAGTGCCCCCACCAGTGCGTCAATGTCCCCACTCTCCCCACCATTGTCCCACCACGGTCCCACTCTCCCCACTTTCCCCACGGTCCCCACCACTGTCCCACTGTCCCCACTGTACCCACTACTGTCCCACTGTCCCCGCCGCTGTCCCACTGTGCTGTCCCAGCGTCCCCACTGTCCCCATCACTGTCCCACTGTCCCCACTGTCCCCACCACTTTCCCCACTGTGCTACTGTCCCACCACTGTCCTCACCACCGCCTTCACCACTGTCCCCACCACTACCGTCCCCACCACTGTCCCACTGTCCCCACCACTGTCCCGCTGTCCCCTCACCAGTGTCCCCACCACCACTGTCCCCACCACTGTCCGCCGCCCCCTCCGGTTTTCGAGGGGGAAGGGGGGGGGTCGAACCGTCGTGACCCCCCCTGGTTTTCGAAAGGGGGGGGGGGGGTTCGAACCGGGAGTGACCCCCCTCCTTTTCATGATAGACTGGGGGGGGGGAGGGGTTCAAACGGGTAGTGACCCCTCCGGTTTTCCGGAGGGGGGGGGGTCGAACTGGTAGTGACCCCCCCCGGTTTTCCGCCAGCAGCGGTAGAACACGCTCTTTCATATACCATCTACTAGATCGGCGCAACGAAAATTTTGACCAACTTCGTGCTTCCACCAAGACAGCGCAGAACGAAGACTCCAATGATGGGTGTGGAAGGGGAAGGAGAACCAAATGACCGGTTCCACCCCTGTAACCGCTACGCTAGTAACGGAAAATCATGGTCACACAATGTACGTATGGTTTTGGCTCTCCGCTGTTAGGAAAGGAAGGGATGAGGAGGAGGAGGAAAACAGAAGGCAGCGTAGTAGCCAAAAGCGTCTCTCACACCTCGCCGACCCGTGTGGACCCTGACACGCCCACGCAGAGGCCAAATAGTTTGCAACCAGACTCAAGATAGCCCGCACGACTGAGTCAAAGTTATCCACACACGCTCCCCACCCCGAGCAGAACCCAGCCACTGAATAGACTGAGAACCACAGAGACCCCCGGGAGAACCCCCAAAATGCAGAAAAAGACAAACAAACAAAAAAATCTGCAGCATTTCCCCCTTCTGATTAACTGAAAAAAGAAAACCCCAAAAGAACCCTGCAGAACCCAGCCACTGAGTGGACTGAGAACCACAAAGAACCCCCGGGAGAACCCCTAAAAATGCACAAACAAATAAAACCCGTAATCCCACCAGCCCTCTGGGCGTAGGTGGTCTAGAACAGATCCTCTTCCACCCCTCCCTCTTCCCCCTTGGGGAGGGGTTTACCCCTCCCCCTACCCCCTACCCTGGACCTGGACGGAGGGTTTCGCGAGCGGTCGGACGGCTCTTTTGGCCCCAAGATGGCTTCAACAGCGCGTCAGAGAGCCCAAGATGAGCTCCAAGATGGCTCAAGATAGCGCAAGATCGCTCGAGATGGCTCCTAAGATGGTTCCAAGAGGCCCAAAGACGGCCCCAAGACGGCTCCTTGTGGCCAAAGAGCTCCCCAAGGAGGCCCCGAAGAGGCCAAAATCGTCCCAAAACCTTAAGAAAATCAATGTGTTTTGCTTTCTCCCCGTTTCGCTTCCGATGGCCATCCAAGGCCTCAAGATGGCTCCAAGATGGCCCAAGAGGGCCCTACAAGAGGCCCAAGAGAGCCCCAAGACGGCCCCAAGAGCGCCCAAGAGCGCTCCAAGAGCGCCCCAAGAGCGCCCCAAGAGGCGATGTTTGGAGCTCCTGAGGGGGGAGGCTAATTAGGGACCCCCCCTTCGTTGATCGATCTCCTCCAAGATGGCCCCAAGAGCGCCCCTACAGCCCCCAAGAGCGCCCCAAGAGCGCCCCAAGAGGCGCCCAGACGGCCCCAAGAGGCGCCCAAGAGGCCTCCAACAGGCTCCCAAGAGACCCCCCAGAAGCCTCAAGGGGATCTCCGAAATGCATTTAAGACGCTTCTGGCTCTTCGGTTCGCCGTCCTCTTCAATATCTCATCCCCCTCTTCCTCCTCCTCCTTCTCCTCCTTCTCCTCCTTCTCCTCCTTCTCCTCCCTCTGCTCGTTCTCCTCCTTTTCGTCCTCCTCGTCCCCTCCCTACTCCACATCCTCCTCCTCATTCTCCTCCTCCTCCTCCTCCTCCTCCTCCTCCTCCTCCTCCTCTTCCTCCCCCTCCCCCTCCGACGAGGATTCCTTCTCCATCCTCCCCCTCTTGGGGTACGTGACAGCTTCCCCCGCCCTTTGATATTCTGCATGCTCCCCGACTTCCCTGATCACCTCAACTCCCCTGGGCATCGTTTCTGGATGGGCTGGTGGGGGTATATTTTTTTACAGCCGCAGGCGGAAGCGCCAGCGGCGGGAGGTCGCGAACGGGCCGCGGACGCGACTAAATTACCTAACGCGCGCGGGGCCGCGGATCAGGCGGCACACGACAGCGTCCAGGGCGGCGGAACCGATGCGATCCAGGAGCCAGAGACATACCCAGAACGGGCATGCAGCGGTGCGTCCAACAGGCCTGAGGTAGGCACCGAGGAGACCAAGCGCAGCCAAAATGGCGCGAGAGGCGTTCCCAAGTCCAAATGCGAACGAGAGGAACGTTCCCGAGGACGACGATCCAAGCCTGACGGGTAGCACAGACCGCCTGGAGACGTAAGTCCAGCGGGGATCCCGACGGCGGCAACGAGCCGCGACGCCACAACAGCATCCAAAATGTGAAGCACGTTACCCAGAAGCTTCCACCCGAGATGCTCCAGCCCAGACCCAGCGGGTGGAAGGGCGCCTTAGTGCACGCTACACGGTCGAAACGCGGCGCGTGCACATCACAGTGTCTCAGTGCAGTCCAGAACGAGTCGGAAAGCACACGCGGGACGAGACCGCGTATACCCAGGCACGTCCCTCAAAGCCACTGATCCAGGGTCACGGCGGAAGGCCGTCCAGCATTGAGTTCCCGAGGACACCGATCCAAAGAGCCTGCCGGGTACCACAGACAGACTGGGGACAAAAGTCCAGCGGAAAAAGCCGACGGCGAACCGAGTCGCGACGCAAGAAAGCGCATCCAGGGTGTGGAGCATGATGGCAAGAGTACCTACCACAACTGAGATGCGCCAGCCCAGACCCGACGAGTGGAAGGGCGTCGAAGTGCACGATACACGGCAGACCCCGAAGAGCATGCACAACTAAGGTGTCTCAGCGCTGCCCAAACCGAGTCGTCTAGCACCAAGGGACGAAAACGCCAGGTACCCAAGACGCGTCCTTCAGAGCCACAGGGACCCAGGATGACGGCGGAAGGCCGAGCTGCTTGTTTATCGAAACGGTAACGAGGGGCGTGTCTTGGTCATAAGATGGTCCCTCCTCGGCTGCTACCAGACTCGCTTGGGTAGCACTGAACGCGGCGAGAGCACAGCCAAAGGGACACTGAGCTAACCAAACGAGCCGGATAGCACCCGAGAGACGAGACTATCGAAAACCCAAGACGCATCCCTCAGAGCCACTCCGATCCAGGGTCACGGCGGAAGGCCGTACAGCAATTAAGAGTTCCCGAGGACAACGACCCAGGGAGTCTGACGGGTAACACAAACTGACTGGGGAAATAAGTCCAGCGGAGAAAAAAACTGACGGCGAATCCGCGTCGCGACGCAAGAACGCGCATCCAGGGTGTGGAGCATGATGACAGGAGAACCTTCCACAACTGACATGCGTCAGCCCACATCCAACGAGTGGAAGGGCGTCGTAGTGCACGATACACGGTCGACCACGTGGCGCGTGCACATCCAAAGCGTCTCAACGCTACCCAAACCGAGTCGGATAGCACCCGAGGGACGAGGCCGTCATATACCCAAGACGCATCCCTAAGAGCCACTTGTATCCATGATGACGGCGGAAGGCCGAGCAGCTTTTTTAAGAGTCCAGGGAGAGGGACGCGACCTACGGACAGGCGAAGCCGCCGGAGCCCACAGCCGCGCGCCGGCTTGCGCCTAGCAGGTGAAAACAACTACAGTAAGGCCTGGGGCCACAGGCCCACCCGAACCAGCGCTGGCCGAGTGGACAGTGAACTGACACGGACACCTGCATCCAAAGGCAGGAAGTGCGCGCGCCAATGGGGGGCGGCAGAAAGCCGCAAGCGGGAGAACAGGAGAGAGGGAGAAGGGGCGCGGGGGGGAAAGCAAGGCGGAAGGGGAGTCCTCTCTTCCACGCCGCTACGGCACCTGGGTCGAACGCTGTGGGCAACTCTCTGCCAGCCGCCATCCGATCCAGGGTTGCGACGGAAGGTCGCAAGTTTTGTGTGTATCGTACGGATGAACGCATCACCACCTCCTCCAGAAACGTGCCGGCCGCACCCAAACCATTGGAAGCGACAGAGCGCGGCGTCGGCGCCGAAGGCGCTCCAGCAGCACACCCACCTGCCGCCACAATGCTGTTGCCACGGGGGGAGCAAAGGAGAATGAGGTGGTGGCCGACGGCCCCGGCGACTGGCAATGTGATAGCTTGAGCACGTGCCGCCACAGGTTGAGCCAAGAGGTGGCGGCCGACAGCCCCGGCGACAGGCAATGTGATAACATGGGCTCAAGCCGCACGCCGAGTGGAAGGAGGAACGGCCAGAGTGAAATGGGGGAAGCAAGGGCGGGCGCGCCCGCAGCTTCTGGGACGACCACCCACAGCACTTGGACCGTCAGGGGTGCGAGGCGAGCAGCGTGGCCCTTCGCCGCCGGGCGCCCCCTGCCCGCCCGTCACTCACCCAGGTACCGAAGCCGCACCTGCGTCCAGTCAACGCCGAGGTCCAGTGCGTCGCCCATGGCCCGCACGTCACAGTTGAAGCGGTAGCGGAAGGACGACAGGAAGTTGACGCACGTTTGCTGGTCGCGCCGCCGAGGGCCAAGCGAGCCCTTGCGGCTAGGCAAGGCGTGCTGCCGGGCGAACGCGTGCCAGGCGCCAGTGAACCTCGCTCCCAGGGAGGCCTGAAGCCGCTCTATCGCCTCGCCAGGTGTCTCCCCGGGGAGGTCCCACTGGACGTCGCCGATCTTAGTTTTGTATAGCTGCTGTCCCGTGTCTGGGTGCAAGGGTTCTGGACAGTGACGCGCGGCGGGGCCCCCAACCAGGGGCGGGGTGGTCAGCGGCTGGTCCTCGGCGCGGCGCCTGCTGCTGCTTCTGCGGCTGCTGCTGCCGCCGCCTGCCGTCTGCCGTCCACCCGACCCGCCAGCGCGGTCGGCGTCGCTGGCCAGGTTTCGGCCCAGGGGCATCGGGGAGACTGGAGGGTGGCCAGTCACAGAGGCTAGGCGGGGCGTCCACCCGCTGTCACGAAGACGCGCTGGGAGAACGTGCCGGCCGCACTGCCGGTGCTCCTCGGCACTCGAGCTCGCGCCCTTGCCTGGGAGGGAGGGGCCAGGGCAGGTGGTGTCAGCCAGGGGAGTGAGGCGGTGGGTGGTTGTCTGTTCCTGTTCTTGCCCGTGTTCCCTTTTCTGCGCTGGCGTTACTTCCGCGCCTTCCCCGTGGGCGGCCGGCAGCTCCTGCTCATCGGGCTCTTCCGGCCCCTGCTCAGTGTGCTGCTCACGCACGCTGCTCTGCGACTGATTCGACAGGTTGGGCCCGCCGCCAGAATCGTCTATGGCTTCGCGGGGCGCGGCGGCAACTGGCGCACGGAAGTCTGGCGGGGACTTGCGGGTTGGCGCGGGCCGCACGGTTGGTCGCCAAGTAAAGGCCGAGTAGCCTCCAGCAGCTGGGGCTGAGAGGACTGCTGTATTGTGGCAAGCGGGGGCAGACCCCTCCCGTTGACGTTCGTCCTCAGACCCGCGCTCGCCCTCGCCCACGAGCGCGCCCCCGTTTGTCGCAGCGTGACTTTCGTCAAGTGTGAGAGTGCTGCAGGTCGTACCTGGCCCAGGCACGTTGCCGGACACCGCTTCTTTCGCCAGGACGGGGGTCGCCTTCCTCAGCGTGGTCCGGCCTGCGGGCGTGAGTGGCTGCGGTTCGCTGTCCGTTCGGGCGGATTCGCTGACAGGGGAACGAGGGCGAATGGGCGCAGAGGGACTTCTCTCGACAAGCTGGCGGATGGCCTCGATGTCCTGCCACTGCAAGGCGTGTTCTTGGTCACCCGGGTTGCCAGACACCGTTTCTTTCGCCAGGACGGGGGTCGCCGTCCTCCGCATGGTCCGGCCTTCGGGCGCGAGTGGATGCGGCTCGCTGTCCGTTCGGGCGGATTCGATGACAGGGGAACGAGGGCGAATGAGCGCGAAAGGATTTCTCTCGACAAGCTGGCGGATGGCCTCGATGTCCAGCCTCTGCAAGGCGTGTTCGCGGTTACCCGGCAAGGGGTCTTCGAGTCCCAGGGACGGCGGCAGGCGGAGTCACAGCGGGGCGTTGCTGGGTCTCGCCGCCAACCAGCTGCGTCGACAGCCCCAGGCTTCGCAAGTGGTGGGCTCCGTGTCGACCGTCGGCCACGGGGATGGCCTCGGAGGCGCTGGCTGGGGGGTCGGTGCCGATTGCAGACACGTGCCCGTCAGTGGCCCGCACGCACGCACGCTCCGGTGTGAACTCCTGGCCCTCGATGCTGCGAGGAGGCTCGGGATGACCTCCACCATCCGCGCGGGGAGGCGTCGTGGAACTCTTCTTGGGAGGAGGCTGGTCATCGACTGCGGGCGCTCCCTCAGCAGCGCTCCCACCTGTCGCCACGGTACTGTTGCCAGGGGGGGGGCAATGGGCTATGACCTCGCTGGAAGTTCCTCGGACTGAAGGCCCGCCTTCTGCGCGCTCGGCCCTGTCAAAACCAGGAGAGGCGGCGGGCGAGGGGCACTTCCCGTCGCCGCTCGTGGCCACCTGCCCGTCGGCACTCTCGGGAGCCCTTGGTGCCGTCCCCGATTCTCGAGCTGAAGGCTCGTCACCTCTGAGGTGGCGGGGTGAGCCTTGGAGTCCCGAGCTGAAGGCCCGCTCTGCTGTGTCACAGGTCGCTCCAAGGGCTGAAGGCCCGTCTTCCACGCCGCTACGGCTCCTGGGTCGAGCGCTGTGGGCATCCCTCTGCCTGCCGTCATCCGATCCAGGGTAGCGACGGAAGGTCGCACGTTCTGTGTGCATCGTGGGGATGAACGCATCACCCCCCCTCCAGTATCGCGCCTGCCGCTCTCAAGTCCTCGGAAGCGACTGAGCGCCGCATCGGCGTCGGAAGGCGCTCCAGCAGCACCCCCACCTGTCGCCGCAATGCTGTTGCCATGGGGGGAGCAATGGAGAATGAGGTGGTGGCCGACGGCCCCGGCGACTGGCAATGTGATAGCTTGAGCTCGTGCCGCCACAGGTTGAGCCCCAACCGCTTGAGCATCAACAGATAGCGCCCTCGAGGTACTGTTGTCAGGGGAGGAACAATGGGAGGCGAGGTGGTGGCCGACAGTCCCGGCGACAGGCAATGTGATAGCTTGAGCTCGCGCCACACGCTGATAGGAAGAAGGAGCTGCACCTCGACTGTCCAACGGCTCTTCACCTCTGTGGTTGCTCGATGTGTCAGTCTCTGGTTCTCGAGCTGAAAGCTCGTCCTTTCTGAAGCTGTGAGAGGACAACTTGCCAGGAGCGCTCAGGCCCCTCGGAAGCCTCGTGACGTAACTTGGGCCCCTGGCGGCCGTTCGGGACGATCTGGGCAATCCCGGACTGTCCTCGGCGAGGCGCCGCTGCTGGAACGGATCCGAGGCCGAAGGCCTGCCCAGCTCGGACGAACGCGCAGGCCCTTCGACGGCGACACCTCCCGGCCACAGGCGGCCTTCGGCCAGCTCCACGCTCAGGGACCGTTTGTTCTCCTCACGGTCCTCGATGCCGTCCCCCGACGACTGCTATTCTCGTACGCGCCGTTCACAGTGACGTACGCGTTGATGTAGGGCTCCAGCCTCACGGCCACAATCTCCCCCAGCAGCGCCACAACCTGCTGCCACAGCAGGCGCCTGCTCTTCTCGCAAGCGCTCTTCACAGTGCCGTTGGTGAAGATGGTGGGCAGGATGAAGAGGGTGACGATGCAGGGCGCCATGAAGAGGGTGATGAGGTAGGGCGCCAAGATGATCGGCGACGGTGGCAGCGGTCCCAGCAGCGGCCGCGGCCGTCAGCCCGGCCTCCCCTCCCTCTGGTGCGAGGCAAGGCCCGTGGCCTGCTCCTGGGAGGCACCGGGAGGCCGCGGTATCAGTGTGTATACTGACGACGTCCTCCCGTCCCGCCTCTGCGGGGGCTACAGGTCATGTCTTCCCTCTGCCAACGATCCCTGGGTTGAACGCCGTGCGCCTCTCTCTGCGTGCCGTCGTCCGGTCCACGGCAGCGACGGAAGGTCGCACGTTTTGTGTGTTGTGTCGCGGGGGGGCAAGCCTCGCCCCCTTCACCAGTGTCGCGCCTAGCGCTCTCGTCCCCAGTGGGTCGACTGGAGGCGGCAGCGCTAGGGTGCACATAGCCACCGCACCCCCGTCCAACCCCCGCGGGGGTAGGGTCCCTGGTCCTTACTCCCACATCCGACTGGTCCCTGGGTCGAACGCCTTGGGCCTCATCCAGCCTTCCGCCATCCGCTCCAGGGTTGCGACGGAAGGTCGCACTTTCTGTATGTATATCAGGGATGTCTGCATCCCCCCCTTCTCCAACATTATGCCTGCCGCTCTCGGGCCCATGGGAGCGGTCGAATGCTGCATCGGCGTCGGGATGCGCTTCACGGGTGGAAGGCATGGTTCCACCGCTTAGCTCGCCAGCGTGGACGGCCTCACTCAGCGCGGGCACGCCCAGGGGGGGGGGGTCGGCGGCGGGTTGGCGCGAGCCTTGATGGAGCGCGCCGGGGCTGCGGGCAGCAACCTGCCCGCTCCTGTTGCCTTTGCCCCCGCGAGCGCCCCCTGAGGGTATCAGCTCCCTGGGCGCACCACCCCGGTCAACCTGGCCCCTGGGAAGACCGCGGCGGACGTTCATCTGCTCATCGTCAGTTGACCCAAGCTGGACTGTATCCGTGGGAAGGTTTTGTGCCGAAACGGGGCCCTCCCCCCGTAGCCCTGGTACCGCCCAGGGCCGCTCCACTCTGTTCGACAGCGCCTGGAGAGAAGGAAATTGGACGTCCTGCAGTGGGCATGGGAGCGGTGGGGGTGAGAGAAGCGGTTGGCTTAGACACGAGGGCTTCGTGCCCACGGTCCTCGCGTCCAGGGGGGCAGCGGAAGGTCACAGCGTCGGGTTGCCATTCTGCCAGCGTCGTCACGACCATCCCCCGCGGGGGTCAGCTCCCTGGTGCATTCTTCCTCTACACACCGTTCCCCGGGCTGACCATCGCGGGCGCCCCACCGCCCGTCGCAGTCCGTTCCAGGGTAGCGACGGAAGGTCGCACGTTCTGTGCGGATTGTGGGGATGGCCGCGCTACCCCACCCTTCAACGCTGCGCCTGCCGCTCTCAGGCTCCTGAAGGTGGCCTGGAGTGGCGTCAGCATCGATGTGCGCGCCGTAACCTGAGGACACGTCTTCCATGCTCGAACCGCTGCGGAGAGCAGCCTCACTCGGGGCGGCCGCATCCAGAGAGGGGGGCACGGCGGAGTGAGGGCACAAGCCCCTAAGTTGCGCGACGGGGCCGAGGCGACGCGACTGCCCGTCTCCACCCACTTCGCCTTCATGGGCGCTGTCGGCCCCGGCGACTGGCAATGTGATAGCTTGAGCTCGTGCCGCCACAGGTTGAGCCCCAACCGCTTGAGCATCAACAGATAGCGCCCTCGAGGTACTGTTGTCGGGGGAGGAGCAATGGGAGGTGAGGTGGTGGCCGACAGTCCCGGCGACAGGCAATGTGATAGTTTGTGCTCGCGCCACACGCTGGTAGGAAGAAGGAACTGTACCTCGACTATCCAACAGCTCTTCACTTCTGTGGTTGCTCGACCCAACCGCTTGAGCATCAACAGATAGCGCCCTCGAGGTACTGTTGTCAGGGGAGGAGCAATGGGAGGTGAGGTGGTGGCCGACAGTCCCGGCGACAGGCAATGTGATAGCTTGAGCTCGCGCCACACTGAAGGAGGAGCTGTACCTCGACTGTCCAACGACTCTTCACCTCTGTGGTTGCTCGATGTGTCAGTCTCTGGCTCTCGAGCTGAAGGCTCGTCCTTTCTGAAGCTGTGAGAAGACAACTTGCCAGGAGCGCTCAGGCCCCTCGGAAGCCTCGTAACGTAACTTGGGCCCCTGGTAGCCATTCGGGACGATCTGGGCAGCCCCGGACTGTCCTCGGCGAGGCGCCGCTGCTGGAACGGATCCGAGGCAGAAGACCTGCCCAGCTCAGACGACCGCGCAGGCCCTTCGAGGGCGACACCTCGCGGCCGCAGGCGTCTTTCGGCCAGCTCCAAGCTCAGGGACCGCTTGCTCTTCTCAGGGTCCTCGATCCCGTCCCCCTCCACCTCCACGTCCGCGACGTCGAACCCGTCCTGCAGCACCTGAACGCCCAGCTCGCTCTCGAACCTGAAGGCGCGCAGCGGGGATCCAGTGTACAGCGCCGCCTCGCCCGCGGCGTCAGCGGCCGCGGCGGCGGCGGCCGCAGCGTCGGCCGCAACACCGACAGCAGCGGGGGCGGCAGCGCCAGTGGCCGCAGCGGCCACGGCGGCGGCCGCCGCACCCGCGGCGGCAGCGGCCGCCGCGGCCGGCCCCAGGGCGGCGGCGCGCGCCACAGCGCCGGCGGCCGCGGCGGTCTCGCCGCGGCCCGCCGCCGCCACAGCCGCGGCGGCCGCAGCGGCAGCGGCGGCCGCGGCGGCGGCGCCGCCAGCCACGCAAAGGCCGGGGGCCGCGCCGGGCCGCGGCGGGCAGCAGGCCGGCCTGGCCGGCCGCGGCGGCGGTGCGGCAGGCGGCGGCCGCGGCGGTCTCGCCGCGGCCGGCCGCCGCAACAGCCGCGGCAGCCGCCCCGACGGCGGCGGCCGCGGCGGCGGCACCGCCGGCCACGCCGAGGCAGCCAGGCGGCGGCAGGCTGGCCGGGCCAGCCGCGGCGGCGGCGCGGCAGGCGGCGGCGCGCCGTTGCCGCCGCCGCCGCGCCGAGCGCGACTCCATGGCAGAGCGAGCGGGGGCGCGGAGGGGGGCGAGCCCCTCGAGCGCCCCCGCGGGCGGGGAGGCCGAGGACCGCGGGGCGGGCCCCCGGCCACGGCTGGCCAGCCGCAGAGGCCAGTTCGAGCCAGAGCGGCTTGAGCCAGAGGCTTGAGCCAGAGGGGTTACGAAGCTGGTGGGGATACGCGAAGTGTCAACAATTTTGATATTCGACAGCATATCTCCTTTTGGAAACACTGAGAACAAAAAAAAAAAAAAAAAAAAAAAATGCAGAACTCAACCACTGAGTGGACTGAGAACCACCGAGAACCCCCGGGAGAACCAGGAAAATAAACAAACAAAACAAAACAACAACAGAACACAAAACAAACATTTCCCCTTTTGATACACTGAAAATAAAGAGAACCCCCAAGAGAACCCTGCAGAACCCAGCCACTGAGTGGACTGAGAACCACAGAGAACCCCCGGGAGAACCCAGAAATCTACAAACATACAAAACGCCCAATTAATTTTTGATATTCGACAGCATGTCCCCCTGTTGATACACTGAAAAAAAAACAGAGAACCCAGCAGAACCCAACCACTGAGTGGACTGAGAACCACCGAGAACCCCCGGGAGAACCCCAAAAATTTACGAAACACATGAAACCCGCAATTTTGAAATTCCACAGCATGTCTCCCTGCGGAAACACTGAACAACGAGAACCCCCAAGAGAACCCAGTAGAACCCAGCCACTGAGTGGACTGAGAACCACCGAGATAATCCGGGAAAACCCCAAAAATAAACAAACAGAGACAGAGCAAACAAAAAAAACGCAACTTTCAAATTCGGCATGCCTTCCCCATTTGATGCTCTTTTATTTTTATGTGTTTTTTCACTCTCTCTCTCTCTCTTTTTCTCTCTCTCTCTCTCTCTCTCTCTCTTTATAACAAAAAAAAAGAAGAAGACAAACAAAAAAAAAAAAAAAACAAAAAAAAAAAAAAAAAAAAAAAAAAAAAAAAAAAAAAAAAAAAAAAAAAAAAAAAAAAAAAAAAAAAAACGATGTGTAGAAGCATATATGAAAGCATTCCCCTTAAGATTCAGATGAAAATCCAGTTGTAGAATTCTGCTGTTCTCGCAGTCGTAGTCGCATTCGCGATGACAGTCGCAGCGGCAACGGCAGTCGCAGTCACAGCCTCAACCTCAGCCTGCCTCAGCCTCAGCCTCAGCCTGCCTCAGCCTCAGCCTGCCTCAGCCTCAGCCTCAGCCTGCTTCAGCCTCAGCCTCAGTCTGCCTTCAGCCTCGGCCTCAGCCTCAGCCTGCCTCAGCCTCAGCCTGCATCAGCCTCAGCCTCAGCCTCAGCCTGCCTCAGCATCAGCCTGCCTCAGCCTCAGCCTCAGCCTGCCTCAGCCTCAGCCTCAGTCTGCTTCAGCCTCAGCCTCAGTCTGCCTTCAGCCTCGGCCTCAGCCTCAGCCTGCCTCAGCCTCAGCCTGCCTCGGCCGCAGCATCAGCCTGCCTCAGCATTCAAAATGTGGCCCAGGAATGGAGTTCTGGGAACTAGAAGAGCACGAAGTGGCCTACAGTTGGCTCCGGGCATTCAAAATGTGGCCCGGGAATGGAGTTCTGGGGACTCGAAGACCACGAAGTGGCCTACAGTTGGCTCCGGGCATTCAAAATGTGGCCCGGGAATGGAGTTCTGGGAAATCGAAGAGCACGAAGTGGCCTACAGTTGGCTCCGGGCATCCAAAATGTGGCCCGGGAATGGAGTTCTGGGAAGTCGAAGAGCACGAAGTGGCCTACAGTTGGCTCCGGGCATTCAGAATGTGGCCCGGGAATGGAGTTCTGGGAGGTCGAAGAGCACGAAATGTGTGTGACTGTTTGCAAAAAACGACTGCGGCGGCAGCCGCGGCGGCAGCCTGTCCGGGTCCCGCCCCGACCCCCCTGTGGAGTCATCTGCTGCTCTCTTTTGAGACCACTAGAAACCTATCAGCAAAAGCTGTTAGGAAAAAAATTATCCCGGCAAAGCAACCTAACAGCGATGTGTAGAAGCATATCTGAAAGCATTCCCCTTAAGATTCAGATGAAAATCCAGTTGTAGAATTCTGCTGTTCTCGCAGTCGTAGTCGCATTCGCGATGACAGTCGCAGCGGCAACGGCAGTCGCAGTCACAGCCTCAGCCTCAGCCTGCCTCAGCCTCAGCCTCAGCCTGCCTCAGCCTCAGCCTGCCTCAGCCTCAGCCTCAGCCTGCTTCAGCCTCAGCCTCAGTCTGCCTTCAGCCTCGGCCTCAGCCTCAGCCTGCCTCAGCCTCAGCCTGCATCAGCCTCAGCCTCAGCCTCAGCCTGCCTCAGCATCAGCCTGCCTCAGCCTCAGCCTCAGCCTGCCTCAGCCTCAGCCTCAGTCTGCTTCAGCCTCAGCCTCAGTCTGCCTTCAGCCTCGGCCTCAGCCTCAGCCTGCCTCAGCCTCAGCCTGCCTCGGCCGCAGCATCAGCCTGCCTCAGCATTCAAAATGTGGCCCAGGAATGGAGTTCTGGGAACTAGAAGAACACGAAGTGGCCTACAGTTGGCTCCGGGCATTCAAAATCATGCCCAGGAATGGAGTTCTGGGAACTTGAAGAGCACGAAGTGGCCTACAGTTGGCTCCAGGCATCCAAAATGTGGCCCGGGAATGGAGTTCTGGGAACTCGAAGAGCACGAAGTGGCCTACAGTTGGCTCCGGGCATTCAAAATGTGGCCCGGGAATGGAGTTCTGGGAACTCGAAGAGCACGAAGTGGCCTACAGTTGGCTCCGGGCATTCAAAATGTGGCCCGGGAATGGAGTTCTGGGAACTCGAAGACACGAAGTGGCCTACAGTTGGCTCCGGGCATTCAAAATGTGGCCCGGGAATGGAGTTCTGGGAAGTCGAAGAGCACGAAGTGGCCTACAGTTGGCTCCGGGCATTCAGAATGTGGCCCGGGAATGGAGTTCTGGGAGGTCGAAGAGCACGAAGTGTGTGACTGTTGGTTTAAAACGACTTCTGCGGCACCCTGTCCGGCACCCGCCCAGACCCCCCTGTGGAGTCATCTGCTGCTCTCTTTTGAGTCTTGTAGAAACCTATCAGTCTTCGCTGTTAGGTAACAAAAAAATTAGCCTGGCGAAGGACCCAACCATATGCAACTGTGAATACCGCAAGTGTGAATATCGTTTTCGGCGGCGCTACCTCTGGGTAGTGGAGACGCATGCGAACACCCCCACTGGGGCCTTCGGTGGAGCTCCCTATGGGGCTACGAAACGCTGCCCTGGGTGGGGGAACCGCATGCAGGCAGCCCCACTGGGGCCTTCGGTGGAGCTCCCTGTGGGGCCACGAAACGCTGCCCTTGGTGGGGGAACCGCATGCGGGCACCCCCACTGGGGCCTACGGTGGAGCTCCCTCTGGGGCTACGAAACGCTGCCCTGGGTGGGGGAACCGCATGAGGGCAGCCCCACTGGGGCCTACGGTGGAGCTCCCTATGGGGCTACGAAACGCTGCCCTGGGTGGGGGAACCGCATGTGGACACCCCCACTGGGGCCTTCGGTGGAGCTCCCTATGGGGCTACGAAACGCTGCCCTGGGTGGGGGAACCGCATGTGGACACCCCCACTGGGGCCTTCGGTGGAGCTCCCTCTGGGGCTACGAAACGCTGCCCTGGGTGGGGGAACCGCATGTGGACACCCCCACTGGGGCCTTCGGTGGAGCTCCCTATGGGGCTACGAAACGCTGCCCTGGGTGGGGGAACCGCATGTGGACACCCCCACTGGGGCCTTCGGTGGAGCTCCCTATGGGGCTACGAAACGCTGCCCTGGGTGGGGGAACCGCATGTGGACACCCCCACTGGGGCCTTCGGTGGAGCTCCCTATGGGGCTACGAAACGCTGCCCTGGGTGGGGGAACCGCATGTGGACACCCCCACTGGGGCCTTCGGTGGAGCTCCCTATGGGGCTACGAAACGCTGCCCTGGGTGGGGGAACCGCATGTGGACACCCCCACTGGGGCCTTCGGTGGAGCTCCCTCTGGGGCTACGAAACGCTGCCCTGGGTGGGGGAACCGCATGTGGACACCCCCACTGGGGCCTTCGGTGGAGCTCCCTATGGGGCCACGAAACGCTGCCCTGGGTGGGGGAACCGCATGTGGACACCCCCACTGGGGCCTTCGGTGGAGCTCCCTCTGGGGCTACGAAACGCTGCCCTGGGTGGGGGAACCGCATGTGGACACCCCCACTGGGGCCTTCGGTGGAGCTCCCTCTGGGGCTACGAAACGCTGCCCTGGGTGGGGGAACCGCATGTGGACACCCCCACTGGGGCCTTCGGTGGAGCTCCCTCTGGGGCTACGAAACGCTGCCCTGGGTGGGGGAACCGCATGTGGACACCCCCACTGGGGCCTTCGGTGGAGTTCCCTATGGGGCTACGAAACGTGTGAGAGGTGTGCCGAGAGCAGAGGCAAGGAGGGGGAGGAGGGAGGAGGGGGAGGAGGAAGGAGGAGAGGAACGCGGGGCACCGTCTCTTCAAAACGAGGACCCAACACCACAGGATGGTTGGGGAAAAAAAAAGAAAGAGAGAGAGAGAGAGAGAACCCTGCAGAACCCAGCCACGAAGTGGACTAAGAACCACAGAGAAACCCCAGGAGAACCCAGAAATTTACAAAAAAGTGCAAGAAAAACTCAGAATTTTGAAAATCGACCGCAGTTTCCCCCTTTTGATACACTGAAGAAATAACCCCCAAGAGAACCCAGCAGAACCCAACCACTGAGTGGACTGCCAACCGCAGAAATCCCCCAGGAGAACCCCACAAATGTACAAAAATGACAAACAAACAAAAAAACGAATTTTCAAATTCGACAGCGTTTCACCCATTGGATACACTAAAACAAAACAAAAAAAAAAACAAAAAAAAACACTGAGTGGACTAAGAACCACAGAGAACCCCCAGGAGAACTTCAAAACCCCAGTTACAAGTTTGAGTATGACCCACCTCGGATTGGAACATGGGCTGCGAGCTGCGGGCCCCATAGGGAAGGGACTCCCGCCTGAGATTTCATCGCAAATCACGCACGAACGAAGCCCCCACCTCATACCTCGCCCATACTCACGCCTGAGGAGGCCAGAAATGAAGAAGCCGGCACAATGCTGTCCAGAGGGCGCCGGCACAATGCTGTCCAGACTACTCTTTGCCATTCGCAGCTGGGGGGCAGCGAAAACCCCCCCAAGAAAAAATCAGACAGACAACAAAACAAAGAAATCAAAGACCGAAGGCTGAAAAATAAATTGTAAACAAAAAGACTTCGTCCACTCCCGCCCACCCCCCGGCGTGAGTATTGAAATATTTGGTTTGTTTGTTGTGTGGTTTGTTTCAATGTTTTTATTTTTCAGCCTTCGGTCTTTGATTTCTTTGGTTTTGGGGGTGTTGTTGTTCAATGTTCCTTTTGGTTTTTCAGCCCCGAGGTGGGGGAAGAAGAAGAGGTGGAGAATGATAATGAGAACGACGGGGAAGGATGAGAGGAAAAAGAGAATTGAGGATCCCGAAAAAGAGGAGGAGCAGGAGGAGCAGGAGGAGGACGAGGAGGAAGAGGACTTTTGACAATCGGCTCCCTCTGAAAAACACACGGGTGCCTCTTCCTCTTCCTTAAAAGGGTATCGGGAGGGCATCGGGGTCAAATTAAACGGGGGGGAGTACTACGCCTCCCCCCCTGCACTACTACTACTACTACTACTACTACTACTACTACGACGACAACAACAACAACGACGACGATGATGACGACTACTGATAGAAATTATACAGCTATTGCAATTATGCGTAGAAGAACTATAATTACAATTACTGTAGCAAGTAGGCTAATGTCTGGCCTACTACTGCTACGATTACGACTACGACAACGATGGCTACCACTACACTACTCGAAACATCTTGCAACAAAGATGGCTACCGCGTGAAGGCGACGTAGAGCACATACTGCAATGCCTAATGGTCAGCTCCGCACTGGACCACCGCCTTGACACAGCCTTCTACCATTTAGACATTTCCGAATCATCCTCCACCGAATCCCCTTTCTCACCCCTGAAAGTGACGCGGCGGCGCCTGCCCAACTCGTTGGCGAACCGCTTGCCGTTGGCGTCAAAGATGAGCCCTCCGACGCCCCTGAGCGCCTCCGCCGCCAAGAACTTGATCTTCGCGTCCGGATCGTCCGGCTTCACCAGGCCGGTCGGGTGCACCTGGACCCACTCGAGGTCCGCCAACCCTCTGGGGGTCACTGGCGTGAATCGCACGACTGCCCCTCGTCAAGCCTACGTGTTCGGCCACTGACCCCTTGCTACCCATCGGCCTTGGGCGGTCTCCTCACGGTCTCTGGCGGTCTTTCGCGGTTTCTGGCGCTCTTCGGAGGTTCGTGGCCGTCTTCGGTGCGAAAGCTGGATGGCTGCGTGCAACAAGAGGGGCCATGATCGAGAAGCTCCTCAGAACCATCCCCCATGGGCGACTGACCTGGCGGCTCGGGAAAGTTGCCCGGACGTGGCTCCAAAGTGGCTGGGGGCCAGAAAAGAGCGCGTCGCGTTGGAGATGCGGCGTCTGCACCTCGGCGGCGGCGCCGGGATGGAGGAAGCCGGCCTCCGGATCGCGCCGCATCGCCGATGCATCGGCGATGTCGGCGGTGCGGCGCGGTCGTCTGGCCCGATTCCGGCGCAGGGCGGGCCCAGGACGGTGCCAGGGCGCGGCCCAAGAGGGCCACCAGGGGCCAGGAGAGTTCTAGGCAGGGGCCACCAGAAGCGGACCGAGAGGCCACAAGGGAGGCCCAAAAAGAGGTCCCAAGAGAACAGCGCTAGGCGTCTCGGTGGTCGCCAAACCAAGCCTTCCTAACTGGCCCGCGAGTGCGTTGCACAAGAGGCCAGAGGGTTGTAGCGTCCTCCTGTCCGGGTCCCTCGGGTTCCCTCGGGGTCCTCAGGTCCCCAGGCCCCGCTGGCTGACTCTTTGACTTGTTCTGCTCGACATGAACTGGACTGAACGGATATGAGTAAGTTTGCACCACGCCTCATTGCCATCACATTTGCTTTGAAGTGTTCTGTGTTGTTTTGCAACTCACTGATTTGGGGTGTTTTGCACTGCACTGCGTCAAGTTGTGTTGCGTTGCTTGCGCACTGTGTTGCATAACATTGCTCTGCATGCTATCCGATGCATGTCATTGCATCACACTGCGTTGCACTGCATATGTTGCATTACTTCGCTTGTCGTTGCTTTGCGTTGGAATGCTTTGTGGTGTTTGTGTGTGTTGCTTCGAAGTGGCTTGCATCTTCTTGATGGCATGGTGACCAAATGTGTTGGGGGAATACCTTGGAATTGGGTTGCATTGGATTGCTTGGCGTTCCTTTGCCACGCATGGCGTCGCATGGCGTTATGTTACATTGCACAGGGTCTAGCATCACGTAATGTGACATCGAAATCATCAGGAGTACTTCCGCTTGCCATTGTCTTGCGTTGTCGCGTTCATTATAGTCTGACTACGTAAGCTCGAACCGAGAAATCTCTAAACAGGGTCGCGACGAGTGCCCTTCAGCCCTCCGGGCTTCCCGGGCTGAGATGACCTCAAAAGACGTCCAGAAGCCGTCGGAAACCTTCCAGGAGGCCTTCAGGTGCCTTCAGAACCCCCAAAGACGACGCAAGCGTTTCAGGCGATTCGGCCCAAGATTGCTTCGGGAAGGCTTCCCACGGACCCAAGACGTGCCGAGGAAGATCACAAGGAACCCCCTCAAAGGACGGTCCAGGGCGGCAACCGCCAGGAGAGCCCCAGGACCCAGATCCCCCCACGTCGTGCTTTTGTCACAACGTCGACCCCAAGAGGTCTGGACCGCTTCTTGGCGGCGCGCAGAAGGGGGTAGGGGGAGAGGGAAGGCTTCTTAGAAGGAGGCCGCTTCTCAGAAGGCGCGGGCCTTACATATACATATATATATATATATAATGTGGATAAGGCCCGCGCCTTCTAAGAAGCAGGGGTACTTCAAAGAAGCCTTCCCCCCTCCCCATAATGTGGATAAGGCCCGCACCTTCTAAGAAGCAGGGGTACTTCAAAGAAGCCTTCCCCCCTCCCCCTACCCCCCCCTCTGCGCGGGGCCGAGCTTTCCTGGGACCAGTTTTCATCCCGAGTCTTTTTGAAGGTCCCGAGGCCCGGTAAGGGGCCCTGGAGGCCGAAAATAGCAAAACACATCCCGTCGTGATTTTTGTCACAACTCGAGGGGGTCTGGGGACGGCCCAGGAGAGCGCTCGGAGGGGCCTCACACCGCTCGACGACGTCCCGAGACTGCCCCCGCGGTGCCCCGCAGATGGCCCAAGAGGGCCAGCAGGCACGGCCAGGCAGTCCAAGACGACCCAAACCAGTCGAAGTGGCCCAAGAGAACCCCAAGAGACACGAGAGGAGCCTCCCCGGAGGCCACAAGAGAGGGCTCACACTCTGGCGCCGCTCGCCAGGGCGCAAGGCGCTACGGCGTGAGCCCTACGCGCATCTGGTCCATTTGCAAGTTGGCGCTGTAATCGGTCGCAGTTGGTTCACAGCCTGGTCACGGGCCAGGGCATGGCTGGAGGAGCAGCCTTTGACTGCGTGAGCGTGGGAGGAACGAGTGAAGGGAGGACGCGTAGGAGAGGCCATAAGACAGGGCCTCAACCCTAGGAGAGCTCTGCAGAAGCCCCATGTTGTTGTTATCGGTCGTCGCCGTCGTCGAAATCGGCGTCGTCGTCTTCGTCGTCGTCGTCTTGTTTTGTCGTCGATGCCTCGATGCTCGATGCCTCTGGCGCCCATACTGTGCGGCCGAGGTCCGTCCCGGTCGGTTTCGGGAAGCCTCCAGGTCCCCAACAGAGAGACACCCGGGGACGTCCCGGGCAGAACCCGAAGGGCACCCAACATGGTCAAAAAATGCGCCTGGACGGCTCCACGACGCCCCAAGACTGCTCGTGAGCGTCCCGCAAGACCCCCACGAAGGTCGCACCAGCGCCACGAGGGCCCCCAGAACGCCCGAGGCACCACGAGGCTCTCCAGCGGGACCAAGGTCCCTCAAGGCGCCCCCGAGACAAGCGCTCCCAAGACGCCTCAAGGTGGCCCCAAGAGCCGATACCTTCGAGCAACAGCGACCGCAGTAGAGCCTGCAGCAGCGAGTACAGGAAAGAGGCCATAGCAAGCGGCCAGCAGCAGGCAGCAAGCAGCA